TTTAGTGGGCAAGTCGGCTACTCGCCTCGGAACGCGAATGCAGAGAAACGATGAGCAAGCTTTCCCTCCTTGAAGAACGTTTCTCCAAGCTCACTCGTGACAAAGGAACAGAAAGAGACTCGCGGTAAGCTTACTTACCTATTAAAAACCGATTCACCATCGCACCTACCCCTCGAACCCTCCTGATTGGGAGACTGTTGCTGCCCCTCCTGTATATATGTGGCTGGGAAGTACTAACAAAGCGACGTGAGACCGAGGTGACCATTTCTGGATTATTGGGCGTTGTCAGTTAGCCATACGCAATCCGCGTTTTAGAGGTTTGCAGGAGATGACGTATCTCATTAAAATGAATTTAAATGGTAAACTCTGATCTCGCTTAAGAAGGATTCCATAGGTAGGTCCTTAATATCGATTTTTGTCCGGTAATAGTAAGATGTACTGAAAAAGACAGATATTTTGTAAAATAAGAGAATGACTCGGGTGAATCTTAGTTTGACCCGCATATTGCGTTGCGTTAAATTATTGTTCTCTGCCTATCTGTATTGCAACCTTACCTTAGTGGTATTTTATACAATCAAAGATTTTGGTTTCGATGCATGCTGTAAACGAGGTTTCCTCCTTACCAGGAATTGAATTGTGAAATGAGAACACGTATTTTCACCGTCTCAAAATTAACACTTTTTATGATAATTTTTCAATCTAAATTTATCGTTTTGGATTATACGTCTGATGCGTCTAATATCTTGTAGCCTTGCCGAGGTCTGGAAGAAGTATGCTATGTTGGAGGATGAATTTCGCTCAGCTCTGCAAACAGAGGCCATTAGGTATGATCAGGTAAGATTACCTCTGCTCAACGGTTGCTGCGTTTTATATACCGTTGATGTTGTTCACACAAGTTGATCGTCAACTGAACCTGAATACTTAAAACACAATAATTTAAGATGTCCGTCCGCCTACTGAACAGCCTGTGTGTTTGTGTCGGGTTTCTGTGAGCGGAAATATTATATATCTATTCTAATTATCGGAGTTATCTCTGCATGAGGTCATTCGACTACTTATTGGAAATGATCTCTCGAACGGATAATCCTGAATGACTACATATCTCCGACTCGCTCGCCCTGTACTGCGTTGAGCCTCACTCTCGAGGCCCGTCAGCAGCTGTGCAGCGAATAATTGTATAGACTGATGAGCATTACCGTCATAGACGACCGAGACTAGAATTATCATTTCCGGCTTACTATCCCTCATCGGCCAGCCGTACCCAATCACAGGTGGTCCAGGACCAGAGGGTCGAACTCATCTCGATGATTATTACGGATGGCGTATCTAGACGTGGGGAATAGGTTGACATAAGGCGTCATACGGTCAACCCAAAAACTGCATTTAAGGTCATAGTTCGGGCGAAGACCGAACATCCCCTGCAATTTGTAGAGGCCGCTACAATACGGAGAACAAAACCAGAACTCTATAAGCAGCTGGATGCCGTGACCAACCTCGCATTACCGTGGTAATGATCAAGTAGTTTCAATGGAAAGGCATCCTTCGGGAAATAGTAGTTTATTGCGTAAATTTTCGACACTGGATCCCCAGTTCGTCATCAGACTTAAGAGAAAGTTAGCAAACAACAGTTAGCATTTCAAAGTGCTGATACAGTTATATAGTCATCTGGTGTGGGCGTTAATTGGGAGTTACAATTTGCGTCACATCGTGATAGGCATGATTATCAGTTGCAATGGCGTAATGGCTAATTGGCAACTAATTTGAGTCAGTCCGGGGTCAGTCCGGGTTATCCAGTGTGAACGCTAATTGCGGTTCATGTTGGTCTATGTCTGTCGGCTGCAGTCTTTTCCACCTTTCTTTGGGGTGTTTGTACACTCCA